CCGCGCGTCGACCAGCCACTTCCCTTCCCGGCGGATGCCGGGGACTCCCTCGGGGGGCATCGTGCGGTATGCCTCTTGGAATTCCGTTTCTGACGGCAGCGGGGGTATGTCCAGCGGCCTACTACGGTTCACGGCGCCGACTCGGATCGCCATCTTGTCTAATAGCGCATCTGCCGCGTCGTCCATGGCTGAGTATCGCGATAGCCAGTCCGCGATGTGATTCTCCTCGCCTGAAAGAAACTTAATAGTGAAGTCATACTGACTCAAATACAACGCCCAGCGAAACACTTTCCCTTTGTCGACCCCCGCCAGGTAGCGGAGATTATTGTGATCCGTGACCACCGTGAAGTGCGTGAGGCCAACGTAGTCCCTCCATTGGTCGATGGCCCACTTCACCGCGAACAGTTCACGCTCCCTCGTGTCCCATCGCTGCTCCGCGTCGGTGAACTTCTTGCTGGCATATTCGATAGGGACCTCCCGCCCCTCCTGGACCTGCATGAGGGTCGCTCTCGCGCCCACTTCCGACGCATCCGTGTAGATGACGTACTCCCCTCCTGGGACCGGGGGGTACAGGGTGGCCGTGCGGGCCACTGCCTCCTTGAGTTTTACGAACGCGGCCTGGCATTCCTCTGACCAGTCGAACCGCTTGTCCTTCTTCAGTAGCCCGAACAGGCTGCCCACCAGCGTCGAGTAGTTGGGGATGAAGTTCCGGAGGTAGCCTGCTACGCCCAGGAACGACTGCAACTCCTTTTCGACCTCGGGGGCGGGGCTTGCCGGATCGACTCGACCTTCTTGGGCTGTACTCTGATGCCGTCCTTGCCCACGCGGTGGCCCAGGTAGGCTACCTCGGGCTTGAACCACTCGCTCTTGTCCAGCCGCAGGTAGAAGCCCGTCTCTCGGCAGAGGCCCAGGAAGGTGCGTAGCTTTGCGAGCATCGCGCTCGGGTCGTCTCCGCAGATGACGACGTCGTCGATGTAGCAGAAGACGTCGTCGCCTAGTATGGGGGCGAAGCACGAGTCCATCGCCCGCTGGAACTCCGCTGGCGAGTTCTTCACTCCGAACGGCACTACGTTGAATTCGAACAGGCCTATCGGAGTTATGAAAGCCGTGAGGTGCTTACACCCCTCCTCGATAGGCACGTTCCAGAAGGCACCGCCACTCGCCGGTCTTCTTCTTGACGAAGTGGGGGGCCGCCGCCCACTCGCTCTTCGACGGCCTGATTACGCCCAACTCCAGCTGTTCCTTGACCTGGGTTTCCAGTTCCTGCCGCATCTCCGGCTCGTAGTGCCTCACACGGGCCTTGTACGGCTTTCCCGTGACTTCGAACTTAGCCTCGTAGCGTGCCTGCGCGGCCTT